GTGCACGATGCTTGGTTGAAAATGAAACCTGTGGATGACTGCTATATGTACAAACTTGGTTAGCATCAGAGCTACAAACCGGACATGACTAGTGATGTGTTAAAGCGCCTCTTATATATGTAACAGGCTTAATGGGTTATTAAATGCATCATAAAATCTCAGTTTACTCTTTATCACATACAAACCAAGGGTCTGTAAAATCAACAGTGAACTGGAACTGACTTGAGACCGTCTCTTCATTGCGTTTTGAAGAGACTGGACATAGTGACATAGGCTTCGTCTTTACATTCTCGTTGAGCTGCCGTTACGCTCTGAGAGCTGCCATGTTCGCTTTCTTTCAACAAATCTGATTCATCTAACAGTCTAATTTTAAGGTGGGACTGCTCTCTTGGAAGACATCCATCAGCTTTCATGTCCATTTCACTCACTGATGTTCTTGAGGAACTGGCTTGACTGTAGCGGCACTCATCCAGGCCGTCCTGAAGCTCAGTAGAAGATGGCTTTTCATCAACGTAATCCACACGGTGTATGAAGACGTCACTGAATATCTCAGGACTGAAAGTGAAAGGAAGGCCCTGAAAACATAAAAACAGTCTGTATGAAGACGCTGAGTCTCAGGTTTAATCTCGCAGAACGTCAAAGAAGCAACCAGACGCATGAGAAATTGAATTACCCTTTGCATTTGTGCAAGAGTTGCCTTCGGGTGTGGGATGTTTGGTGTAATGTAGTCTTTTATGCTGGATAAGAAAACATTATTACATTACATTGTTAGAAAATAATAAAATAGCTTTTTGTGTTTGTTTTTTTAAATGAGGTAAAAAACTCACTGCGCTCTCCATCGCAAGGTCCCCAAACCGATGATGAGCACCAGAATGACAAAGAAGGTGATGATGAAACCAACCTTTGGAAAATTCTTTTCTGTGGTAGGAACTGTAGAACCTGTGTCATCATTTATAGCATCACAATTTATCAGACATGATTAATAACGGTAATAAAGCTATTTGATTCTTCTCCTACCCAATAATGAGTACAAAAAGGAGTGTTTATCATACTAAACATAGTAGTATCTTCTCATGTAACAGACATCTGATCCACTCACTTGTTATAGTGAAAGTTGCATTTGAACTCCACTCACTCCAGTCGCCAGCAAAAAAGTCCCACGGTTTTGCTCTAACACGTGTGTAGTAAACACCATCTCCAACAAGTCTGTCCCTGCTAATACTGTAGTTCCTATATTTTATAATGGGTCTGATGGGCTGTGGAGAAAGAAAACATAGGTGTTTTTTATTTGTTAAAAGAACTCAAAATTGACTTTTTTTTTAGGAAAGGTCAACTCAAACCAACAAATTGTTGTGAGAAACACCTTGTCTGCAATTTCGTCTCTCCAGATTTCCAATTGGAATTCAGGGTTTTTAACATATTCATGAATGTGTTCAAACCATATGAAAACTTCTTCTGTGTCTTCCATGTAAG